AATATTTTTGATACAAATGAAAAAAATTAATTTTTGAATCGATTAAATTAAAAAGTATCTAACATTAAAAATTAGGTGTCTACCCTAATAAGGAAGCCAAATTGAAGATTACATATTTTGAGTGTAAATGCAGGGCTTGTTCGAGTTGCAGTCACAACAGCAGTGTTGCACGAATTATTAGAGTATCACGTTCGCTATGAATTTCTAGCAAAGTGTTGTCAGTGTTGCAATTTTTCATCAGTACAGCAGTAATGCCGCTTTTATTACGTGCCTCGAACAGGCCCGCACATACTGTGTAGATATACATACATACATCCATACTTAAAAAAAATTGTCGTTGGAATTGGTAACATACAAATTGGTATTGTAAAAACGTGGCAACTCTCAACGCCGATATTTCTGAATTAAAGTTCTCGAAAATACGTTTCATTTGATATCCATATTAAGTTGTTTTAGTTAAATTTTGTAGAATCGAAAATAAATGGCAACCTTATCTACACTAATATCTAATATCACTTGCTAAATAGGCAAAGCACTGTTAAAGACCTTTCTTTTCGTGGTGGCTACCTAATCCGAATATTTTCGGAGATAACACCTATCCACAAAATTTCGTCAAAATCGTTAGAGCCGTTTCAGGATCTACCATTTATTACGGAAAAGTTGGAAAAATTGTACGTATGTACATGGCGAATGAGTTACCCAGACGAGTTGATAATGTTAGTGTACCTAGTGTAGTGACTTTCGATTTTAACTTTTCCGTGATAAATGGTAAAAGTCCAAATGGTATAACGTCTAAAATTGTTTTCCCTTAATTTTTTACAACTAGCGGAGTATTTATGTAATTAAAATAATCGTTTGCAATATTTTGGAACCTTTTCATTTTGATAGTTCTCGGATACGTTCGAAGTAGATCTTAGCTCTCTTACATAAATTCAATGGACCTTTGCATAGTCCACTCCAAAGGTTTTTGCATGTTTTGATATAATTTCAAATGGACTGTCAGTCAAAAATTCTGCATCTATCTTAAGACTCGACTTTATTTCGACTATGAATATACCCCAACATTTTCTTTCTGTAAGAGTTACTTTGCTGTTTTCTACAGTAGTTTTTTTTTTGCTATAGTGTTTTTTACTATTGTTGTCCGCTAAGTATGGTCCATTCGACACATATATGTATTTATGTATATATACTTAACTTTTGTTCATATTTACATATATATATGTAATATTACAATAATAACAATTCCCAATAAATTAGCTTGATTTTTAATAATAAATCTTAAATAATAATCTCAACTGATTCCAATTTATTGAATGAAAAAATATTTATACGTGAATTTAACGAATTTATGGTTTTATAACCTAGACACTTAAAACATGCAAGATCCACAAGAAAATTCCAGGTGCAAGAATATTTAATTTATCTTCGCACCATGTATGTCTGTCAGAGCTGCTTGACTATCAGAGAAGATCAAACTTGCTCATTAATGAACAAAAGTGTTCAGTTTTGTGCAACTTAGGAGAGTTTCAAGCTTTCAGGCATTGATCTTCTAGATATATTTCCGACCACCTGTTGACATTTATGGGGCGATATTTTGGCCAAAACTTGACAATTGTAGATTGCCAGAGTTTGAGGTTTATTCGCAGAAATACGTCCCATCGAGTAGCTTCATAAAAAGTCAATTGGTGCCAGGACAGAAAATCTCGGTAGCCAATTACATCGCATTTACGGGAAATCATGCGTTTGATAATTCTCTGTTGCGATGAAGTAAATCCACGAAACTGAGAATGATCAGATGCCTTCAGTTGTTTTGTGTCCTGAACATTATACGGCCTTATAAGACAGTCACATTTTCTGAGAACGACGAGGATTCGACAAATACCAAGCTTTTCTGGTGTATGGGACTTCGGCGCTCACAACGACATGAAAATTAGACCGGAATAGAGCGCTGAAAACATGAAAGGCTTGTTGGGGATTTGAGCTTTATGATATCTGATCTAACGATGTCTAATAGCGACCCAGTGTCTTCGGATATAATATATTATTATTTGATTTAAATTTCACATCCTTGTATTGCGGCATTTACATAAGTGCTTTTCTCGCAGTACACAATCCTTTACTTAAACTTCCACCGCTCTACAAAAATTTTCCTCCATTCACCCAGTCAACCAGCCACCAACAGTTCCAAACACATACATAAGTACCTAAATATTTCATTCATTACTTGTCCGTTCACCTACACAATCGTCTGACAGCCCATCAGTGCAGCTGTCAATACACATCTCACAGAGCTGTCGTTACAAAGCTCAACAGCATGTCAAAATTTTCTCAAATTTACCGTTGTTGTGCTTCTGCTTCTTGTTAACATTCGATTTTCTGTTTGTTTCCACCCATTTACTTTATCCTTACTTGCTTCTCTTCTTACTTCTTACTTGTAGTTATCCTTCTTCTATGCTACTTCTCCTTTAGTAGACTCCTTCTCGTCTCCTTCTTCTTCGGCCATCATCCTTTACGCTATACTTCGTCGTGTGTATTGATTTTTCTTTGTTTGGGTGCAAAATGCGCCGCACGTGCTTCTGCGCCTATATGTCTGCTACATTATTTTGCTCGATTTTTATGTACATATTTGTATTTGTTTCGTGTTTTTGTGTTTTTTGTTTTTGTATTGCCCCCGAAGCCGCCTATTTTACGACCTCTGCTGACGTGGTGCTCATCGCACTCGCCCTGCGTGCTTCGGACTGCGGCCCATTGGTACCTCCCCCTTTTCCTTGTCCCGTTTTCTCTCCTCACGAATCGCTTGAAGCTGTTTTCTGCATGCATGACCTTTGTCGCTGTCTTGCGCTTTGATTAGTTTCCATCCTTCCATTCGTCTCGCAATTGCCAACGAAACCGAGCTGTGGGATAAGTCTATGGATATGTCAGATTTGACCGGCTTTTGTCTGGAAAAAAAAAATCGCTTTATTTGTATTTACTGCTGTAACTGTAATTTTGAGCTTGGCTGTGCGTTAGTTATTTACTTATTTATTTTTGGATTTATTTTTGTGCGGTGTTTCTGGGCCAGACATTACGTCGTCGACCTTTAAATTTGAAATAAAAATAAGTAAGTACTATTTAAGCCACACATTTTCATTTGTTTTAATTCCAATTTATTTCCACTTTTGCGGTTTCTGTTTGGAGAAAACATTAGACTTCTTATTGCTGCTTTTGTTGGTACCTGTTTGCCACTTGCTTGCCTTGAACTGGCTGGTTTCCAGTATACACACTTTTCCATGCAATACACAATTTAACATTTTTACATTTTTACACAAACCGTTATTTATGTAATTGTGGTTATAGACTTTTTTGTGGTCGCTAACGTTTTGAAGGCTGTAATTGCTTAGATGTTTGCGTGTTTGATTTGTGGTTTCAGTTTTAACTTTCTTTCGAATGTCAGATTTTGGGCCATAATGAAGCTAATTAGGGTGCAGCAAACAAGCCAAGTGTTTGCCCAAGGCACAGAGGGCTGACTCTGCCTATTGCTAATACGAAGAATGATGTCTCATAGAAATTTAACGTCGTTGCAAACTCACGCGATGGTACCAGTTTCAAAGGATCCGCATTCACTTGTGAAAGTTCCAATACGCCTCTAAAGTATTCTGATGTTTAGACGGATACACATATGTTCGTATGTTTAAAATAACGCTCATTTGAGGTTCTAATCGCCAAGTGATTTAGATAAATATCTGGCTTAAGAAACCAATTGAAAAAAAAATAGATGGCGAAATCAGGCTAGAATATGCTCATCGAGCACTTAAACTAATGCCTTTTGTTTGTCTTAAAGTAAGCTAAATACCAACTTTCCCTACAGCACCTGGGGCTGCTCGAAATGCATAGCACAGTACGCCACCGTTGCCTTTGCTAGAGGCACACTACAATGTGGAGTTTCCTGGGGATGAGTGCTGGCTTAACCCCAAACTTGGGATCGGAATCTTGAGTTTACATTGAAAGTAGCGGGGGCAATCTTCACTTCTCTCTTTGGGAATATGCCTAGGTAGTTCAAGCCGAATTAATTCCAATTAAAAGGCCATGGACTACGTTGTAGAAAATAGGTGGTAGGCATTGACAGCCAAGCAACACTCAAGGAATTTGCCAGCCCTCTAACTAAATCCAAACTATGTACATATTTCGGCAATGCAAGTCTCGACTGAATTATATTGGAGAACATAACGGTATTGTTTTACCCTGTATGCCGAGTCACTAAGGACTTCCTGGTAATGATACATCCGACTATTTGGGTATAGAAGGCTCAGACTAGGCCTTCCTCGGTCCGCAACCAGTTATATCACTCCCACCTACGGCCATCGAAGCCACCGTTAGAAAACTGGTTTAATATTTCGCTCAGCAATGGCAATGGTTTCCCTCAATTTCAAAGTGTTATTGACTTTCATTGAGCAAATGGGACTACAAACAACTCGTGCAATGGTTGCCTGTTCAATTCCTGTGTTATAAACCCGATTTAGTTTTCCTAGCTTGAAGACGGTGGAATATTTTTTTTCGTCTGTCCTGTTTTTGCAAGAATTAGGTATGAGGAGCGACGTTTTGAGAAACGAGTACCTAAGCTCTTTTAACGCCCAACCATTAGCTCGTAGATCGTGTAGATTTAAAACAAATTAAAAGGGATTGTGAAAAATCGAGTCATGAATCACCAGCTTTAATTTTTCGTTTACCAGCTCAAAATACGAAGCCAACTTCATATACTATTTTCATGGCTAAGCCCTTGCTGCCTTTAGCGCCTATGCATCCATCCTTGTATGTAGTTCTGTAATAATTCTAAAACGCAAAATATTCGAATGGAGCTCTAGCTTTAAAGCTAGTGTGAACCATAATTAAAAGTTATTTGTATCTACATACTATATTTTTAATTATATCGATATATTAAGAAGTAGCTTAAATTATATAATTTACCAAACATACTTATCTTATATTCCACTAACCAACTATTTCTCATTCTCTCTTTGCAGGTACGTTTCTTCCGTAAAGTCAAATGCTAGGCGGCAAGTGGGCATGATTGAAGGTTTGCAAAAGGAAAAATTATCCATAATCCTAGTTACGAAACTCTAAATGTCTGAATGTTGACTTTTGGATTTTAAATTTTTTTTATAATATGTAGACAAAATATGTCGTCTAAATCTCAAGATTTTCTGTCAGGTTATAAATCGGTCATTAGGTTACTCTGAGCGTCATATTAAATATAAATATTTGGCTACATAAGTACATATAGGGGATGGCACAAAACTTGCCAGGTGGGAAGTAGGGTTTTAAACCAGGTTCTGCGCTGACCCTATTTTTTCAGTTTCAGCTCATTGCAGCCTTTCCAGGCTGAGAATTCGGCCGTGTATTTACTCCTAAGTGGAAGGTCCTATCGCCTTGTTTTGCTTTGCCAGAGCTTCTAAAGTATTGGAAAAAAGCAATTTTTTGACATTTTCACCTCGTTTTTCTCAAAATCTATACCTGATGGAAACTTTATACTTACGGATTAGTAATCAGCACAAAAATTCTATCAAAAACAGCTTTAACATTTGCCGGACCAAAATTGTTTTGCCATTTCTGTTGGCCTGTGTAATTTGTAGATTTTTTTTTAGTTTTCTACAAGGTTTGATTTTTTTTAGAGAATAAACTATATTTTAATGGAATAATAATGGAAATTAAACAAAAGAAAACTGATCCAGAAAAAAATAGCGAAAAGTATTGTACCCATTCAAGTGTATGTGAGTGTATTTAGTCGAAAAATGTAAAATTTGATTTCAAAACTTACCAATTTTTTTGCGCTGAACCTATTTTCGTGAAAAGCGAAATTAAAATTTGTTTCTAATTCTTTAAAAAAAACGTCAGTAAAAAGCCAATGGTGTTGAAAATTTATTTGTGTCTGAGTTAAACTGTCTTTAAAACTGCATTTACGAAAACAACTTGCGGGCGATACTTACAAATCGTCACATGAAGTGCAAAAAGTCGTAACTTATAAAAAATTCAAAATTCACTTTTGGATTGCAATGATGAATTTCATCCAATTACAACTCCTCACATCGGTTTATGGAAACAAAATAAAAAATTATTAGTCACGACTTTTTCTATTTCAGTGACGATGTTTGTTACGTCTTTTTGCATTTCAGGTGACGAAATGTAGGCATGTAGAATAGATGCACGAAACAGTGAAAGTTGAAAATCACGTTGAACCTATTTTACTGAGTGTGAGACTTGTAGCAGTTGTTATTGTAAACATTCAGGTAAATGACTTACTAACAAGTAGATCAATAAATCTATAAAAATCAATTAGCAATAAGTTACATACATACATACATACATATGCACATACATACTCACTAAATCAAATAACTAAACGCTTCGCTGATAAGGAGTCCAGAAATATATTTGGCCTTTCTCAAAATTGTTTCTTGTTGTCTCTCAGTTCTGCTACTGTTCGACCATTAGCCCGGCTAGCTCAGTCGGTAGAGCATGAGACTCTTAATTTCAGGGTCGTGGGTTCGAGCCCCACGTTGGGCGCAGAATAAATTTTTTTGTAGTTGAATAGATTTCATAAAGGGGTTGTAAAATTAAATAAAAAATGTTGATAAACTAAACTTTTTAATGTGAGTAATTCTCTAAATTTTGGATATTTTTGATGCAAATACAAAATTCTCTTTTATTATTCACAAGAGCACAAAACGGGGCTCTTTTAAATATCTTTGATCTATTTTTATACATTTTTCTATTGCACTTATTTTGTTAGAAAATTTTTAAAAATAATGTTTATGTTTAGGACTTCAGTATATACAAATTGTGACAAAGAAGGGTTCGCTAATAATCTGCCATCTATCCAACTGGCCCATTAGCTCAGTTGGTTAGAGCGTCGTGCTAATAACGCGAAGGTCGCGGGTTCGATCCCCTCATGGGCCACTATATGACTACTTTTTATTGAGAACGGTAAATTTCTTAGTACAAAAATGTTTTTTAGGGCAAGGTTTATGGTAGAAAATATGTATGCATTTTCTAGAGCAGTCAAAATTATGAAAAAAATCACGAGGGTAGGAGCTAGCTGAAGGATTTCTTGAAACATTTATACCTGCCAATCCTGTGACATAACGAGACTTTTCGTTTATTTTATTTATTTTTAACAGTCAAATTGAAAACATATATGTATTTATCAATCTCAAATATTAATATTGATATATTTACTAAGCGTACATTTAACGCCTTATTGCATACATATGAGAAGCACTTAATGCAATCAACACCACAGTGTGACTAATAACTCAATGCCATATTATCATTTTGGCAAATGTAGAAATCGTCGAAAATGTAAGTATGTATGTATTTGGTATCTTAAATTTTTTTTTGGCACTCTCGACATTATGCTGATTTCGAAATTTATCGCGAAATTCGTATTTATTTATACACACATGCATAAAGTTCTTTTGAATAAGGCGAAGTATTTAGAAACGGCTATCAAAACGCAGTCCGGCATTTGAAAGCGCGGGCGGAGGGGAAGAGGCATAACGAGACAGTTGAATGCACTGCATAGATAGGTTTTGCGTTTGCTTTCGTGCACGAGTCATTGCGCATACTGACAAATAAAAAATGTACATAGATATATTATCGTACAAATATTCATTTATGTATTTGAATGTATGTATGTACATCTTCATGGGTAAATATAAATATTTGTTAGGTGTTGCAGCAAGAGGATGATAATGGCCAAATTCTTTCTTTTAATGTTTGCGGTGTTAAAAACCCAAAAAAAAAATAGCCGAGGTGAAATGATTAACTCACATACATACGAGTATATAAATATGAGAAGTGAAAACAAAGGCGATTCCATTAAATTAATGGAAAATGCAGGTAGAAAACGCAAATATTAAAGAAAATTAAAACATCTTTTCCAATACTAGAGAAGTGATAGATTTTCAAATGTAATTTCCCAATTTTAACTGGTCACTACTAAAAACTACTGATATTACTAATAAATGAAAGCTTTGAAGCAGATAAGAATTTGCGTTGATTTTTAATAATTTATTTTAACTTGAAAACCTTGTGAATATTTAAAGAAAATCACCTTGCAAATGGTTGTTTCAACCACTGTATATAAAATATGGGTTTAAGTTATATGGGCAATACAAACATATTTTTTTATAGCCAAAAAAATCATGTAAAATTTTTCTTAGTACAAGAATTAGAAAGCTAGAAACACTCTAACAGAGAGAAATGCTAAGCAGCCCTTTCAAGAGCATAAACGGTGGCGAAAATATAAATAGGGAAGACCAATTTTAGCATTCTTTGGCTATTTCGCTTTATTTCATTAGATTTCTTAGCAACATTCTGAGCAAGCAGTTTTGTAGTCCACACATTTTTAGGATAACAAAGTACCAGTTTTAAGTAACTAGAACTTACCTTTGATTTTTGGGATTTTTATTTTTTTTTTGAGGAAGGTGTTGCTCATTTGCTGCACGCAAAAAAATTTTCGAACATACTTTATATGGAAGAAAATGCGTGAACAAAAAAATACCCAAAATCAATAAAATCTAATGGGCTACAAAACTGCATACTCAAAATTCTAAAAAAATCTTTTTTTTTTAATATTTTTTAAAGTTCGTCGAATTTTTATAAATGCTCCACAAAGTTTGAAAGTTTAATTTACATATTTTCATGAAAAAATAATAAAATTTTTTTAAATAAAGGAAAGTAGCCAAATCTTGCGAAAATGTCTCTTCGCAATTTAAATTCTCACCACCGTATGATGTCAAATGGTTTCTTCCTCATCTCCTCTTACCTTTCCCACCATTTTTTTTTATCATTCCTACCGGCTCTGAGATCGCTGACTTAATATACATATACTAGCACTTTTGATTCGCGAGTGGCTATGAGCGTGTAGAACTCGTTGATTTTTCTCCCCAAATATCATGAATTGTGTCTACTTGGGTGAAGTTTAACGCATCTAGTATATTTCTGAAACCCCACCAAGTCACGGTAGATACAAATTGGGAAAGTTTACTCCAATAAAGTGTGGTTCATTGTTTCAAAACATCTAAACACGCTGACCTGTCAGAATCAGTAGGAAATTCTAGAATACTCCACAATTCAAAAGTGCTAAAAACTACGACTGTAAAAAATATTAATAAACAAAAAGCTTCTGGCAATGCAGGCAACAAAAAGTCAAAATCAGGTGGTTATTGCTTCTTATTTCTCGCTAAAGCTCGGAACACATCGAAAACGACATCATCACACGACACGACATTAAGGTTTTTGCTACGTAATTCAAACGCTTTGACGACGGCGACATGCATTTTTTGAACGCGGCAGCGACATCGAGAATTTGTTTGAGTTTGACATAAAAGAAGAGCAAGAATCTTATCTGTCGCTAGACAAATATATCTAATCTGGCCACAGCTATATTTTTGGCTAGTCGCGGTGTTGCCGTGTTGTCGCCAAAATAATTCTCTACATAAGAGTATGTGTTAAAATAGTTTGACAGCTGTGGTTCGTAGCCCGTCGTTTCCAATGTGTTCCCAGCTTAATTGACGGACAATTATATAGAACGTATGTACATATGTATGTATGCATGAGGTGTATACGTTAGCGCACGTAATCACAGGAGAGTATCACACGTTTCTGACCTCATTTTAGTGGAAAAGTATACTATAGTATATGTATAAATGAACATTAGGCCGTATCACTTTGAGGGAATATCAGGAGAGAACATTTTTTCTCGGCAACCTGTAAAAACGGCCAATCGGGTATTTAATTTGATAACCGACTTCTATAGATGATACATCATTGCACTAGATATGGGCCAGCAAACGATGAAAAATGGCCAATACTCGAAATCTTATCGGAATGGCCTAAAACTTGCTACAGAAGGTTTTTGGGGTCGGAGATTACGAATCTGAAGCTAGATTTTAAAAATTCAAAATGGCGGACAATATTGTGCAAAGTAATCGGATTGGCTTAAAATTTGTTGCTCTATGATTTTTGGCCTCACTGATCACGAATTTAAAATTAGATTTCAAAAATTCGAAATGACAAATCCGATACGGTCGTCATAAAAATTACGCCTGTAGTCAGCCTACCTAAAGAGTGGTTTCCTAAGGCCACCAGGAGGAGATTACACTACGAATTTGGACTTAAATTTTTGAATTATCTGGTATTTGTCATTTTTTTGTTTTTGTTTTTATATTTATAATTTTAATTAATAATTTCTTCCAATTACGAATGTAGACTCCACTGTTTTATTTTTTCTTTGCACTTTTAGTATTTTTGTCTTTTTTTTATATTTATTACAAATTGCGAAATTAGACTTCGCTTTTTTATTTCTTTTTACTTCTGTTTTTGTTTTTTTTTACATAGTGGTATTGCTAAACGACAGCGAGAACAATTCATAAAAATTAACGCCTGCCTCAATAAAATATGTCGACTTTTTTAAGCAGAGCCTATTTTGAATTTTGTTTTTCTTTTATTATATTTTACTGCATCTTATTA